ACTTGGATTTACTGCAAGTATATGATGGCATGCTTGATGGCTTTCTTGATAAGAAATTTTGCAGAAAATGGGAACACAGAAAAATTGCTGATGTGGATGTGTTAAATCACTTTGTATAGTAAAACATGGGCTATCGCATTAGCTATTTGGGAGAAGGTGAGAACTGGAATAAGAATTATGTCTTGCAAGTAGTTTATGAGATAGAGAGCATGCTTCAGACAGTTTACAGAATCAATCTCAGCACTGATTCTGTTTAATAATTTCTTTTTTTTTATTTATTTGAGGAAAAAAGAGTATGTGAAGGTAATTTGTATGTGACACAAAGCTGAAGAAAATCTACTGTACAAAGAGAATTGGACAACTTACCCGAAAGTGTGAATTTACCTTGAAGAACAGACTAATAAACATGAAGTAAAAATCGGTGTTACAAAATACAAGGAAGAGTATTTGGAGCTTAATAACAAAAATACCTGCAACAAAAGTAGGCCTTTTTATGAGAAGCGGCTGTTTTTACAGGAATACGCAAAACTACCAGAGGCACACTTGCATATTTCCATTTCAAGTCCAAAAATAAATTTTCTTAGTCATCATGCATTTGAGGAAAATAAAGACATGATAAATTATCAGAAAATAGGATATAAATGTCCACCAGGATTGCTAGGAGTTGCTGAATTCAGCAGCCCAATGGAGGCGAGGCTGCTGTAGCTCCATGTCACAGGTTTGGGGTTTTTTTTTTTTCCCGGGTTTTTTTTTTTCTTCCTCCTACTTTGTTCAGATCAATTTTCTAGAAACTATATCTTAGCTGTAACAGTACTACTGATCAATGTCGCTTTTTCATTTGGGGAGTGGGGTTGGATACTCTTTTAGTATCTCAACCTAAAAACTAATTTTAAGCATTCAGTTGGGGTTTTTTAGGTTTTCCTGGTAATGAAAGTTTCTTCTCATTTTGTGTTGTGTTTTATATTTCATCATATTTCAAATCCCAGATGCCTTTATAAAATTCTAGGGCTTTAAAAAAGGCCTGCACTTCATTATATTTCATCTTAATTGAGCATTAGTTTACCCATCTTCATAAATAAAGTATCCTACATTGCTTATAAAGCAGTATTTCCACATGAAAGATAGTTTTATTCATTGCACTGAATGTACCTTTCCCCAAAGAATAAGTAGTAAGAAAGATTCCTATGGTTCTTTTTTTTGCCTTTTCACTCTTGCATGTGTTTACTTTAATCATTTAGAAGCTAAGAAACTCAAGAATAATTCCCTTGGAAATAGAGATTAAATGACCGACAAAGCATTAAGGAAAGTACTAAATAAATTGCATTCAAGTGACAGACTGGAATTGGTTGCCTGCAGATTGCTCCTTAATATAATTTCAGCATAATCAATAAGCACGATAACATGTAAACAATTACAACATGTCAGCAGTTGTGGGACTGGATTTCAGCAAGATGGCTACAAATAGATGTAAAATTTTGTTTGTAATGTATGAAGCACTATAGCCAAGCTGTATCAAAGGTAATGGAGTTGTCTGAAACTGGTAACACAGGTTTTAGCCCTCATCCAATCAGACACATATGCTCAGTTTAGGTCTACACACATGAGAGCACAGGCACACTCTGTAAGTGTATAAGCCCAGATGCATTTATGTACAAGGCTTCAACTAAAACAGAAAACCAAAACCAACTATTGAACAAAGAAGTGATGACAACACAAAACACAGTGTGTAAATTGTCATGGGAGGGGACCTGCTAGTTACAATTTACATATACTGAAACAAATTTTTATTTTCCCAAAAACGAATTTGGTCCTTTTTTGAAATGTGGATATTCTAAAAATTAATACTGTGTAAAATAGAGAATGTACCACTTTGTTCAGTGGTGCTGATTTTCAGACAAGATTTAATGGACTATATATATCACACAAAAAAGGTGAAAAAAAGGTTAGTGGCACTTTTTATTTGTATTTCTTTAACTTAAGAAGATCCTTGTACCTTTTTGCAGGAGAGTTCAGTTTTGAGAATAATCTACTTTCACAAATTGCTTTTTACAGAGGTGCTGAAAGACTTAATTTTGAACAGTCAGCTCAGATACTGCGCCTCTGCCTCTTTTGGAAAACAGTTATTTTGAAAACATGGATCATGATATGTTATGACATAGCTTTATATTTCCTAATGAAAAGGCTCTACTCTGCCACTATTACTCTTGTCACAATCATACAATGAAAGGATAAAATTATTAAGGACTCTGTCTCACTTTAAGCTTTTAGTAGAGAAGTTCACTCCTCCTATATGGGCTTGGAAGGGATAATTTATACCAACTCCTCATGATAAGGAACCGCATCACAATCCACTAATGTGGCACTAAAACACTAAAAAAAATAAGCTACCATGTGTACAATTGCAAAAAGTATATGAAATTTAAGCCAAGGAGTTACCTTTGTTATAAAAAGAAAAGGATGGGGCCACAGAAATATCACTGGAAATATTCGCAGGCTAACATGCACTTTTTTCATGGGGAAATAAAATAGAAAATTAAATTTTGAAATGTAGTTTTTCCAGGGAAAGTTGCATTAATTTTACACGTCTTCTTTATTTATCTTGAATAATGACTAAACCATCTTTTCCAGGAAGAACATGAATACTGACACATCTATTTATTGTGGCTACTATGTCATAATGCTGATTTACTCAACAGAGAGAGGGGGAAAAAAGAGAAATGAGAAAGAAAAAATTTATTTCTTAGGGGGAAGAAAGAGAAAGGAAGAGGCAGTTTTCTATTATAAGAAAGACAGCAATTCTGAGTTTGGAATTTGTCTGAGTTTGATACAAAGAATTAGAGAAGCTTCTGAATTCTTCTTGTTTCTGATTTGTTTATTGACTAGTCTGTTTCCTATTGCAATCTGTAGGACTTATTTTAATTTTCTTATTTTAATTTTTCTCTATAAACTGACAATGTTGACTTCAATGACTACTGAAATTTTCACCAATGATCAAGTATCAATTTTTGACGCTATTCAATGATATATGGTTGGATAGAAATGAAAAAATTATGTAGAAAAGTAATACAAAAGCACAAATACACTTTATAAGAAATGTGTTTAATAGGAAACGGCTACTATTTAATTTTAGTTTTCATAAAATTTTGATGTCAGTCATAAGAGACTAATACTAAAGGTGTTCACTTTACTATTCAGGAAAACAAAAAAAAGAGTGGAGTTTAAATGCTCATTATAACTGTCCTTTATTAAAATTAGTTGTTTATCTTGAGGAAGAGAGCTGAAACCGACTTCACATCTTAGTTTATTATTCTAAACTGAGTTGAAGGGGGATTGGAAAATGGCTTTAATTTTATTTAGATCATTAATGTTTTTGCTGTACAATTATTTCCTTGACTTCTCCTGCTGTTATTAAAGGTCTACACCTTACAGACAAGGTCAGACAGAGTCATACGACTGGAGAGAAAAAAAGGGCACATGGAATTGTTTTTAATTTCTCCTTTCCTCCCATCTATCTGAATTCATCTGTCTTCAACTTTCAGACATTGCGGAACCAACATGTTAACATGCATGGCATATAAGACAATATGGGTTTAAAAAGAAGCTACCATGTAATATTTTTTTCTGTATTTTTAGAATACAGTTGTGAAATGACCTCAGCATTCCATTTTGCTCATATTTTATTATATAAAGAGAATCTTACTGTGTAAGAAAAGAACAAATTTTCATAATTTCCTGCTTTGTGTGTAGCCCTCTTTATCTGTACCTATATCTACTTTCTTGACACTGAACTCATACATCAATGAAAGGAGTAAAGAAGTTTCATACAGTTTGAATTCTTGCCTGATGTGAATTCCTGTCAGACACAAATTCTTGTCAGATAGGTGGGAGGTGAAATCAAAACACAGATTCATCAATCTGTATGCTTAGTGTCAACATCTGAATACACAGAATATATGAGCTATTGAGAAACAACACCATGCTGTAAATACAGTACAATAATATTTTTTCGTTCTTGTATTTTTTATGAAACCTGGAGAATAACTTACCATGAATTCAATGCTGAAGGCATTCTGAAAAGCAAATATTCTTTCTTTTCTTTTTTTTTTCCCCACATCTACAATCACTCATGGTTCTTTTATAAAGTTAAGAATGAAAGAGGGTCTCTATACACATAGTATAATAAAGAGTATGATGCTCTGTTACAACTGGAACCAACAGAGTGATAATGGAAATAGCTACTGAATCAACATAACAAAAGACAATACATGCATAATTCAGCTTATTTCAAGAGCAGCATGTTCTCTTAGAGGTTATTGATGTGATTTAAATTATTCTCTGTACTTAAAATGTCAAAAAGGAAAAGGAAGCAAGCATTTCATGGAAGTGTTAAAGAGGAAAGAAGGAAAGTTTACATTCAAAATGTACATTTAGCCTGAAGTGCTAGTAAAACTTCTACTCTTCACCCTCAAAATCACACTATTGACTAGATCAAAATCAGTGCATCCCTCTCAAAAACCACTCAGTTATCATTGTAATATAATAAAAACACTAAAAAAATGACATAATTTTTCCAACTGTTACCTATACGCAATTTTTTTAATTGCTAGAAAAGTATTAAGATTTCATATTTCAAATAGATAAAAATGAGTATTTAAGATAAAAATAATCTTTATTCTATTTCTCCAGTGTGACTGTAGTTCTGATATTCTTTCTGTGACTTGGTTTATTCATCACAGTATGGCAGTCTAATTTCAGAACTGGTAGCTATAATTCTTGTTCAGAAAAGCACTTCATGATCATGGTTTAATCAGCACATTATCTGATCAAATAAGAAGTCAGCTCCAGATTAAAGTTTCTAAATGAAGATGTACTCCTGTGAAAGAGGCATTTATGCACCTATTACACTCAGTGGAAAATTAGGCAACAGCTTCAAGGAAACCTATGGGCACCTGCACACAGACCACCCTAATTTGCCTTCTCAGTTGCCAAAATGTACATACCCGAAGTTATTTCTTCCTGCATGCTCCAGCTTCCAGTAGCTGGGTCAAAACAGTGCAGATTTCCATTCAGTAATATCCTCAGTACCCTAGGAAAGACATGGAAATCGGTGGCCACATCTGGTTAACTGGTAGCTCTCTTGACAACACTGAACACATTGAACAGGAGTGAAATTTTAGATAATTATATAATTGTGTTGTACTGAAATGGCAGAGATCTACATGAGGCTGTACGTGGGATATAAAAGAGATATGTGCTGTTCTAAAGTGGTGGCTGGACAAAAGCTGGGATAACCTGGGGAATTTCAAGCAATGTTAGCTACATTTAGGTAACAGAACTGCATCCTAGTTCTCTCTTAGATATAGTGGCAGCTTCTACACCTAAACTCTTCAGATAGCTATAAAGAGGCATCTAGTTTTATCTAAGAAGACTGAAAGATAACTGCTGAAAGCTATTACAAAGGGCCTATGGAGGACCTGTGCCTTCCTGGAGCAGCAGCTCAAAGCAAGGCAGATTATCATAAACATGCAAGATTCAGTGCTAGTGATTGGATTTGCAAAAAATTTGGCCCTGCCTCACACACTGACACTAAAATTCATATATCCTAAATTTCAAATTAGTTACAATCATCTGAGACATTCTTAGATATTCTAAGGCATAAGGATCATTATCAGAGGACTAGCAGACACTACAGGGGACTTATAGAGACTCAAACCTCTCAAGAAGACTGTGTTATGTACACGCAGGCTAGCCCAGGTCATCCCAAAGAACACTAGGTTTCTAAGTGCAGGCAAAGGAATCAAGTCACCTGAACTATTATTATATCTGAATTATTACTATACACTCCTTCTAAGCACATGTGGCTATATAAAGGAAATTTATATATATATTTTATATATATAAATTAGGTGGATTATGCCTTTGTGAACCTTATTCTCTGTTTTCATTTAAAGGAAGCCAAATTTCATTAGCTTAGATATTTACATGTAAAAATGGGTGAGCTTGATCTTGTTTTCAGTCTGAATAAGACATCTTTTGCAGAAATAATTTCAGGATACAGATAATGATTTGTTTCCTCTCCTATGGATATTAGTCGAAGTAGAAACTCCATGTAAGCAAATTCTGTTGAGGCAAATTACCTGTAAGTAAAACACTTACACTAAGGAATAAGGTTAGTTAGCTGTGTTAGCTATGCTCTTGTTATGTTCTTGCAAGAAATGTGAATTATTTTTATCTGAGTGGTACGAAGACAATGTAAGACACTAGGGAAAAAGCAGGCCTTGAAGAGTTTAAGGAAAGAGCCTTAAAATCTTCTCAAAAGAGCAAGAGGAACAGAAATATTCGAGAGGAAAAAGGAGGAAAGGAATCATGCTGGCTGCTAATTTTGAGAGTGAAGGGGAAAGCTATAAAATAATAAATGCATAGAAATATAGGTGTCTCAGTGCTGAATGATAAGAAACAAGGGTTGGATACTACCATGTTTGAGTCAAAAATTTGTACAACTGTATCTGAGGAGGGCAACTCAGTAGCTAAATCCAGGTAAGAGGAGGCACTGAACACAGCAGTGTTCAGCAAAGGAACAAGTGTTGATGTACTGTATGGATGGTTTACAGTTTTTCTTCAGCTTTTCCTTTGTTATAAGGTCTTGACGTAAATTATTTGTAAAATAAACTTTTAAATCTCAAATGATCTACATCAATATACAATTTCACTTTTCACTTTATGTTGCTTTTTGTACACTCATTTCTGCTGGTGAATTGGGCTGGGCTGAACTTTTATATTCCTTAATATTATTTCTGTAAAAGTTCTTATATAAAATACTGACAAAGCAAAATTCTTATTTGATTCTAATTATTTCAATTGCATTTATACATTCTTTTTTTAGAAAATCTATTATGAATTGTTACAAAGTGACTCTTGAATTTCTTACTAAACTTAGGTTTTCATTTCAATAAATTACTTTTTTTTAAAAAAAATTCTTTTGAAAGGATCTTTTTTTTTTTCCTGAAACTCATATGATGTAATATAGCTGAATAATTTTTGAGAGGTCTTTCAGAATGTTATGAAACAAAAACATTTTTCATGTAGCACAAATTGACAGAAGTGGATGTTTTACTGTTCCTTCAAGAATTTACTATAGTGGGCAAATAACCGGGAATGGACAGAAAACATGGATGGTTTGAAACCACCAGGGATCCAGGACTGAGAGGATAAAAAGCCTAATTTTTTTTCAGAATTACTGGTTCTTTATTTTTGTTTTACTGTTCTGTTGCATTCACACAAAAAATGAAGCAACTGATGTGAGAATAAATAGGTACATATTCTGTATATAAACTAACCCACTTAAAAAACCTAAAGTGTATAGGAAGACAATGATAGTCCAAAAATGTATGCATATCATTCAAGGTCATCTTTCACTCATCTTTCCATTCTAAATCTATATACTGTTACCAAAATCATTCTACAGAAATTTTAGGCAAAATCTCATAGATGTTATTTTTAAGCTTTCAGTGTCCACCCCAGCAAGTCAACTCAATGTATGACTGAGGCTCTGAGCCTGAGGTGATGCACAGTGGATATAGTGCTACTGAAATGCAGAGTCATGTTATGGCATACAAGAGCTTGGAGAAGGTTGGAGCACCATTCTGTTATCTTGGACAGAGCATCAGATTTATAACCTGGAGACAATTTGGTTTGTAAAGGTCAAGACTGCATCTGTCTGAAGCCACATCCTAACACACAGCTTAGTAATACTTCCCAGGCACCAGTCAAAACCTATTTCTATCCAAGTAGGGATGTCTAAAACAGGGATGTCCTTCTTCAGGTATGATGATTGGGATTTACTTCAAATCTCATACCAGAAGCAAAATACACTGAAAATCTCTTATCTATATTAGTGTCAGAGTTCTTAGAAATCCTAACCATGCACAGCTGCAGGTTATAAAAATGTACCAGCTTCCAAAGGCTTTGCATACACCTAGACCATGGAATAAAGACAGGGAACTCTTCACATTTTCCTCAGAAACATGTTGGACACCATTTTCTATGACAGTAGAGACTACAGCAGAATCAGCCTAATAATATTAAACTTTTGTATAGGTTATTATTTATTTCTTCTTGGTATTATTATGGTTCAGGTTATTCACTAAATAGCCCAAAGGGGATTAGCAAATAAGAACTAGGTATATGATCATTTTTTCCTAGTTTCAAGTGACTGAAGAACTCTATCTCTTTGACAGCACAGTAAATTGAATACAGATATTTTAATAATAAGAGTCTGAAATGTAAGATATAGAGATACAAGAAAATACACAAAATTCTTCCTTTCATTCTCAATAAATATATATTCAGGGGGAAAAAACCCAACCCAAACCAAAAAGACCAAAGCAGTAAACCCCTCCTCCTCCGCATACTTGAAATATGTTTCTTTTACATTTCCGTGTATCATATTATCTGTATAAAGAAATAATGTAATAAATAACTGTTCTGATACATTGCTACTCACAGTAAGTAACTGAATAAAACCCCTAAGGGATCAACAATGTTGAACTGATTGCCTAGTTTTAGTCAGTTGGTGAGATGGAAGGAAAAAGTCTCAAAAAGATTGTTTGTTTTCAAGGATTTTCTTTCTTCTATTGATTCTGAGAAGGCATTTTTGTTCAGTGTGTCAGTTTGTTCTTTTAGAAGGGTTTCAGGAATTAATTGCTTAAAAGATCTTTCAATTTATTTTATACTACTATTATCTGGTGTGAATAAAAATCTATATATCTATGTTTATTGCAGCACAAGAGAAATGAAAGCTCTATTAGCCATTTTGAGTTTGTTTTCAAGCCATATAGTAACAGGACATTTTGCAGTCTACCGGGAGACAAACAATATGCTCATATTCCTGAAAAATGAACAGTGTGATCTTTAGGAACTCCTGGGTTACCATGGATACCAACATGTATTCTATCTAGTCACAAGATATACTTACATTTCTTGTGAATTAAAAGTCAGTTTTCAGAAATGTTAAACACAATAGAAACATAGAGTTTAACTTTTGGTTTGTTATATTTTTTGGATTTTTTTTCATAAAAGACATAGTAACACTAAAGGTAGGAAAAAAATTGCTACTCACCAGTAGTCCTTTACAACTTGGCATCTTCATCAGCTGAGCTGTCTTCCTTAGTTGCTGAGTGATAATGATTTCATTTTATGCAATTTTACTTTGAACTACTAAAGGTTACTATGGAAACCTTGACTCTTTTTCTCTCTTCACATTCTTTGAACAGGTAGTAAGTCTCACTGTGTGGGGGAATTGAACTGGCATATCCACTGAAACATTACTTGAAAATCAGCTCCAAATTGCTTTTGCCATTCATGAGTCAATGTGAAACCAAGATTTGTCAGACAGTCTGGTAGAATAATAATATATCTTCAAAAAAAAAAAAAAAAGTTTGACTGAATCTTTAATAATCTGCTAAACCTCTATTTTGCAACGTATTGAGATTTCATCTTTACTTCATGATAATTGCGAATATAAATGATTCTAGCATTATTCAACATAATAAAACAGTGCAGGATTTATTGCTAAATGGTTGCTCTTGTTTTCAGCTTTTTAGCTTGTTTGTTTTTTTTTAATTTTTCAATTCTGTATCTGATTTATCTTGAAACTGAAATAGCCTTTTGTTTTTGTTTTGGTCCCCCTGTCTGAATCATGCTAAAATTCACTGTCAAACTACAAGCAATGTGTTAGACAGTTTTATTACCTCCAGTTTACTTCTAACGTTGCCATTAATTTCTAGTCCAGAATTCATGATGTTTAATCAGAACTTGTAACTGGGTTTCTAATTTGTCTTGAACTAAGATTCAGCTCTTATTTTAGAATCTTGAAACCTTTATCTTCAGGTCAGTCCCTATCTTTGACATCAAATAATCTAATTCTTCATATATTACAATCCAATTTGCTGCCCCATCTCTAAGAAAGCAAGCCAATAGTCTGGGACTCTTATTTGTTTATATCTCTTTTTAGTCATGTAACAACAATAACAACAACAAATCTCTAGTTTATGTCTTATCTTGACTCTTCTGGGTTTCACCCTTTATTTGGGTTTATCTGCTTTAACTGGAAAAATTCCAATAGCAAAATTAAACAACACTTAGAAATAAAGTCAGTAACAAATCTTTGACAATGATTTCTATAACACTTTTGACTGCCAGAATTTAATTTAGTATTTTTTGAAAGAGACTTTTTATAAAGACTTTACTTCACATTTTAATTTGCATTCAAAGTGGAATTGAAGGGCAGAAGAGACCAGAGCCTCCTTTGCCAAGAACAGATGTCACATTATTCATGTTCCAAAGTTGCTCAAGCAATATGCAACTGTAAATAATTTTGTTCTGCTACATCAAAGACTTATCCTTCTTCACTACCATCAACCAGTACCACATTCAAGTATATATATCTTACTTTTTCTGTTCATTCTGCTTAGAAGCCTGGACAAAATTATAATTTTTGTTAATATTTGAATGGTAGATTTTGCATGGAATTTGAGATTTGGGGAAGCTTTTGTGAGACATGAAAATGGCAGACACATTTAACTCCATTTTTTCTTTCAATTTTATTGAATTATAGCTTTAAAATCAATGCTATATTCCAGATTTAAATGAAGTTTTCTTTTCTGTTCTTCCTTTTTGAGCTTCCAGAAAACTCTATTCTGATATGTACACACATAAAAATGCTCCTTCTCTAACCTTTATTTTTATCATTAGCACTTTTTTTTTGATGGTATGTATTTTAAAAGATATCTAAATACCACAAGTTAAAGCTTTTTAACCAAGAGTAAAGGTGTTTTTCTTTAAAAAAAAAAGAAAAAAAGAGAGATTCAGGAGTTCCTACATGAAGCACTTATACCAAGGTGTTCATCTTCCCCCCATATTACATTTCTGCCTTTGAATTTTACTGTCCTATTGTCTTAGTCCTGGTAATTATGGAAGGAAAAGTGTACATCTACTTGAAAAAACCTGTGCAGTCTTCAGTTACCATTTCTTTTTTGAAAAGCATCCCATTGTGTAAATTGGATACAGTTATGTTTATTACTTTTAACAAGCCTTTCATTTTTCATCACTAGTACACCTTTTGCTATAAGAATATTGATACTTAAAAACCACTTCCAGGCTCCCTTCATTTGTTATTTTACTACACATTGTGTTTGAGGTCACCAATTCCAACATTTGATAAAACAATGACTGTGCTAATTCACTGACACTATCATCAAAAAGATTTACTTTTAAAGCAATTGCTTTCCTCAGTTAGTTAATCTTTAGTTGGGTGTAAAGACTGCCATTGTGAATGTAAATTCTTAATGTCTCCCTTAAACAGAGTGTAGACTTTAAAGATGCCATTACAGTAGTGGTCAAGATAGACATTTATGGTATAGATGACATTTTGAATGGCAATTTGTAGAGTATATTGGTTTTTAATGAAAATTTGATTAAGGAACATGCTGAACTGGTGCCACAGTTCTTTCTGAACTGTTTACCTCCTGTGGTAATGTTTCAGTAAAGAAGGTAAGGTGATAGAAGATCTCCTGCAATTCAGTGGTAATCAATACAGGAAGAAAACAAGATAAATTTGAAAGCACTGACAGAGGTTTGAAGGAGTTAGATGATCTGAAATCATAGAAACAGATGGAAGAGTGTTAAAGCAAAGCAAAATGAAAAACCTTCAAATTCTAATACAAAGAAATGAAAGATCAGTATGGCTATAGGCAAATTTTAGTCAGCTACTTTTGTTCAATCTGACTTGGCACATTATAAGTGACATTTATTCAACCCTCTGCTATCTTTTCAATGACAAAATTTATGTGGATTCTGGTACAATTATTGATATTATTTCTGTTTCAGTACTGCAGTTACAGTCATTAACTTACTCCTTGGAAATGGTGAAATGCATACCATAAATATATGAGTGGAGGTTTGCTTAGAAGCTGGAATACAAACTATTCAGGATGCATGGCTACACTTCTTTTGTTTGACAGACATCTAAGTAGATCTTTCCCTTAAGAACTTTATAAGAATCCATGCAAAAATCTCAACTTCCTGTTGCGTAGAGTTAACCTTTGAAACAATGCTGTACGTATATCAAGACGATTTTCACATTTTTACATTCTTCTCAGCTAAAATTTTGAAAAAGTGTGAGCTCTGAGTGACTTTTTTCTCAAAGTCAAGTAGATTATTCAGCAATAAAAATCAACATACATATTTGAGCAATTAGATTATATATCACTTCTCTCTAACATTTCTCCTGCAAGCACTAAGACTCCCAATCTATTTCAGACTGATGAACTGCTAAAAGTACAGAATTTACAACAGCTTTGATGAGTAGTTATTTCATAATCTTAAAATATTAATTTAACTAAACCATCCTATATAAACTAGATAATAAAATAAAAAGAATATTGCCTTTGTGAAATGTAGTTTTATGCACAAACCCAAACTTTATCACAATCTTTTTTAATAGTTTTGAAAAAAATTACCAAAGCCAGTCTTCCCAGGCAAGGAATAATATAAATACAAAAATTGCACATATTTTTCTGATGATATTTTTCTGACAATGTTAGTATCCCATTATTTCCTTCTTCTATTTCTTCCTTTCCTCTTTCCCTTTCTTGCTTTTCAGGAGTATTGTTTATAAAGCAGTCAGAGGAAAGTTGTAAATGTTTTGGGAGTTTTGGATGGTTTGTCTTTCTAAATGCCATATATAGTACATAACAAACTGTCATCATATTGATCTTTCATGTTTCTCTTGTATTTATTTTATAAACAGACAATATTAAACTTATAACATTCTACTATAAGGAAAAAAAAAGAATCACTATGTTCTAGCATTAAAAAAATCCTAAAATAAATATCTGTATTTTGTACTTGTTTCTCCAAGATTCTCTATGCAGGAAATGTATCCATCAAGTAATATGTAAAATAATAAGTGAGGTTTTGGGTAATCTTTCTTGTTCAAAGTCAAGTTATACATGTAGCATTTTTTTCTCTATAACCTCCACTACAACCTTTTTGGCCCTTAGAAACTTGACTATTTCTGTTGTAAGGATCTAAAATGAGGCACTGATATGGTACAGCTGTGTAGTCTTGGCTCAGACCTCCAACAAAATTGCTAAGGTGTGAGAATGAGCTGTAAAAATGTCTGTACAGGCATAAGAAACATAAAAGTTCAGATGAATGTACAGCTTAGGAGGAAATGTGCATCAAACATGACATCACCAGCCAGTTAAAAGAAGTGATTATCATGTTGTACTCAGCACTGATGCAGCCTCACATGGAGAACTACATGCAGTTCTGGGCCTCAAAACTTAAGAATGATGTGAAGGTCCTTTCATACATCCAGAGGAGGGTAAAAAAGCCTGTGAAAGGTCAGGAAGGTATGTCCTGTGGGGACTGGTTGACAACTCTGGGTTTCTCTAGTTTGGAGAAAAGGAGGCTGAGGGATAACCTCATTGCCCTCTAGATCTTCCTGAGGAGAGGAAGTGGAGAAGGAGGTACTAATCTCTTTATCCTGAGATCCAGCGACAGGATGCACAGGAATGGTTCAGACTGAATATTAGTGAACATTTTCTTACCGAGAAGGTAGTCAAACACTAAAACAAGCTTCCTAGAGAGGTGGTCAATGGCCAAAGCCAGTGTTTAAGAGGCCTTTGGATAATGTCCTTAAGAACATACCCTAACTTTTGGTCAGCCCTGAACTGATCAAGTAGTTGGACTAGATAATCATTGTAGGTGCCTTACAGCTAGAAGAGTCTATTCTGTTTTAACTGCTCCTAAGCAGAAGCTTAAGGATTCAAGATGAAAAATATCAGTCTGAAAAAGCATGAAATCCAGAAAGGAAAAACATAGAGTTACCATTCCATTGTTAACAAAGTCATTGGTTGGTCTGTCATCAGTTATTATTTCTGGTGTAACAAGTACCATCATATTTGGTTGGTAATGGTGATTTAGAAACAACAAGGCTGCTTCCAGAGAGAAGTAGATGCTGGCTCTTCTTTCCTGATTGGTATCTGCCTTTCCAGCAATAATCCTCCCAGTAATGCCTTTTAAGTGTTTGGAGCATGAATGCTTATCTTAGCATCTCACAAAATTCTAGTTATTTTTCATGTAAGTTGGAA